TTTTTTTTTTTTTTTTTTTTTTTTTGCCTAAAAGTCGTCAAAAATACAACAAGAATTTTATTTGCAACGAATTTGAGCAGATTTTTCGGTTTCAGCAATCAGCAAACCCAAAATGTAATTTCTTTTGTACTGCCAAAGACAAAAAGCACAGCAAAAATATTATATACCTCAGATATAGACTGATAGTTCCTCAGAACAATTGAATACAACAGATGGGACAACTTACCAAGGGTAATACATCCGTCACCATCCCCATCGAACATCCGAAACTGCTCCTCCAATTCATTGATGGATGTTCGATGTTTTGGCGGTTCACTCATATATCTGATAAATTCTTCTTTGCTAATCTTTCCATTTGCTAAACAAAACATAAAAAAGCAATTATAAAAAAAAATAAAAACGAAAAAAAAAAAACAACAAAACAGATGATGACAAACAATTGATAAATGAAATAAAAGTTAAGAACTTTTTTATTTTGTATTCAAAAAACAGAAAAAAATCTAACTGCTTTTCTTTCGGACCAAAATTATGATAATAATCGTTAAAATCAATTGAGAAATTCGTTAAAAATCAGAGACAGGAACAAATTGTTCATTCACATAAATCAAAGCAGTAATTTATTCAAACAATCTTTTGAGTGACACTATAAAAAAAGAATCCCAAAAAAACAAAAAACAAAAAACAAAAACCAAAAAAAAAACAGAAAAGAAGATGAAAATAAATTAGTTGAACATACAAATTATCTGTCTGTATTTAGCTTTTTTAACAAGTCTTCTTAAATTTTCTTTCCTTATTTCCTTTAGACTATCTGTTTCGTTATTAGTTCCGATCTACTTTCCTTCCCTTTTTTTTTCTGATTAGTTTTTTTTTTTTTTGTTTTTTGTTTCTTTGTTTTGAAAAGATTATTTGTTAACAACTGTTCTGATAAAGTATACAACAACAAAAACAGAAAAAAAACGCTCAGTTTTTTCTTGTTCCAAAATAGGAGAGGTGAAATGAAAAGGCGATGACAAAGATGAGTTGAAAAATGGAGTAAACAGAAAAAAAAAAAGCTTCAAAAAAGTTATTGCTGTCTTAAAAATACTATTCTTTTTTTTTTTTTGCATTACTGAAATTGACCTAAAAAATTTTACTGCTGAAATATTCACAAATTATTTGTTTTGGTGTTTGCCTTTTTTTCTTACCCATCAATTTTTATCAACAGTTTTTTCTTTTCTGTTTCGTTCTTTTTTTTTTAAATAGCAACTATTACTGTGATAAAAATACGCACCCATTCAAATGTTCACTCATTCGTTTACTTAAACATATACGCTTACG